CCCTCCTGAAAAATGCCGGCAGGTGACAGCATTTTTTTTACTCTGTCCACAGAGAGGCATGCTCTGTACGAGGTGGAGTTTAGAGCTATTCCTATGAAAGACATGGCCTGAGCTGGCTGCAGGACACTCTTTTCGTAGTTTATGGTGAAACCCAGAGCCATCAGATGATCCACTGTCAACCTGGTGTGCTCTCTCCCCGTTATTTCTGACTCGGGCGGGCGGTCCGCGCTTGACCAGTGCTCATGGGGCCGGACACCACTGAGGGAATCAACCCCGGTGGTGTCTGGGTGCGTGGGGGCATTATGTTTTTCAACATAATCTCTGTGTTTTTCACACATTTTTCCCGTGCCCTTGGCAACATGCCTGGATGCAACGGGTAAGTTTTTAATAAACAGTGTGTCTTGTGAGACAGACATGCTTGATTCAGCTGAACAGTGTCTCGCCATCTCTTTGTTGAAATGCGCTCTGTGGGATCCAACTCGAGTCCCAGGCGCTAAAAGTTGGAGGCAGAACACACCTCTCCGAACGGGCTCCGGAGCTGAGCCCTGGAGTGAACTTGGAGCCCGGGCTGGTCCGGGTCCGATCTCCCCGTGGGGGATGTTAGGCAGTCCGCTTCTTCTTGCGGTCCGACTGCTTGGCTGGTGGTGGGGCACCCTGAGCGGCAGCAGGGACATGTTTCCTGGGCCAGTGGGTCCAGTGGACCCTGGGCCGCGACCTGCGGGGCTGCGCCGCGAGGGATTCTAAACATCGGCACGCCGGCTGGTGACCTGAGTGAACGTGCGGCGACTGGGTGGAGGCAGGGGCGCAGCCTGGGTCTTCCGAGGGGACACAGCTGCAGGGCCTCTCCCTCTTTCTTTCTCTCCTTGCACAGTCTTTGCATGGTGGCAACGGCGGTCCCGAAAAGGCCAGCGGGGTCGATGCTTTCATCCAGAATGTCACGTTTTTCTCTGTCTGAAAGCCCCGAGAAGTTCAGCCATCTTGCCCTCTCCTGTAGGACGGTGATGCTGAGAGCTCTGCCCGCCGCTTGTACTGCTGCTCTAGTGAGGTGGAGACACTGGTCTGTAACAACGCCCAGCTCTTCCCACAGCTCGCTAGCATCCGGGTTTGTAGCAGCCTGGTCCTGGAGCTCCGCCGAGTAGGCTAGCAGGAGCGATGAGGCGTTCAATGCCCTAACGGTGGTGGCAACTGATTTATACGCCTTGTCAGCCAGGGAGGACTGCAGGCGTTCGGCCTTGGACAGCAGGGACGGACCAGGTGACATGGAAAGTTTCTGGTTTGGGTGGAGATGAAAAGCCACCAGATTCTCCACTGTGGGAATTTGGTAGATGCCCTTTTCCTTCATTCCAGCGCAGTCAAACACCGCCACTTCCTGCACGGGGTTGGGTGACGAGAATGGCTTTGCCCAGCAGCGTGTGACTTCGTCTGTGCATTCGGGGAAAATCGGCAGTACCTGCTTAGTAGTACGCTTCGCTTTGGGGAGCCTTTTACCCTCGTATTGTGAGGTGGAGGTCTCCGTTGTCACCGCGGGCCATGGGATCGCCAGCTTTTCAGCTGCCCATTTTGCAACGTCAAATAGCTCCATGCCACGGGACTGTGTGCCGGGGTTATCACAATCGGCCCCTTGTGTCATCCTCGTCCGAGACGGGATGTTCCGACGCTCCCTCAGAGGATTCGCTGAGTAGCTCGTCATTAGCCTCGAGGGAATCAGACAACATAGCTTCGCAGCTGACCTCGGCATCATCCGCCATTTGATATCCCGAAAGAGATACTGACTGACCAGGTCACGTTGTTCATGTCTCACACACTAAAAGAGCTATATGCATTACTGGGCATTAAATCTATTCGGACTTCAGACTTCAGTCTGAGGGTGGTAGATGCTGCCTTTTTTAGTGCTAAAATCCACGATCCATAAGTTCATTCGCGTAACTGGGATCGCTGGCTAGACCCTCTGTTATTTCCAGCGCAGGAGGTGCCCCAGGGCTCCACAGGATTTTCTCCCTTTGAGTTACTGTTCGGCAGGAAGCCGCGGGGGGTGTTGGACCTGATTAAAGAAAACTGGGAGGAAGGTCAGAGGCTGGCTGAAAAGGAGAATCAGTACGACCTGGACCTGCAAGCAAAGCTGCCCACTTTGGGGAGGTTGTCACAAGAAAATTTGCTCCAGGCCCAGGAACATCAGCAGCGCTTGTACAAAAAAAGGGGCTAGATTCAGGCAATTTTTACGAGGAGATAAAGGGTTGTATTCCTCCCGTCTTTAACTTTAAGTTACTCGCCAAGTGGGGAGGACCTTTCATGGTCACACGGCGAATGTGGGACGTAAACTATGAGGTGGTATGGTCAGACAGAGGTGGAACCACACAGATATTTCACGTTAACCTCCTTAAACCATGAAGAGAGGCTGAAACCACTTCTCTGGTTAGCGTGGTTAAGGAAAGAGAACAGTTGTGGTCAGTGGTGCTGAATTCCTCTATTCCTGCCTCCCTCCATTGAGATGACCATCTCACACAGGCCCAGAGAGTGGATGTTGCTGCATTGCAACAGCGGCTTGCAGAGCGGTTTGTTCTTCTCCAAGCACAAGAGACAGACTGTGCAAAAGGAATTGGCACAAATGCTTAAGCTGGGAGTAATAGAAGAGTTGCACAGCGCTTGCTGTAGCCCCATAGTTCTTTTAGTGAAGAAGTATGGGTCTATACAGTTCTGTGTTGCAAGGTGAACTTAGTCTTATGGTTTGATGCTTATCCCATGCCCTGGATGGATGAGCTCCTTGACTCCTTACTTACTTTTTACGACGCTGGATTTAACCAAGGGCTACTGGCAGATTCCTTTGTCTATGGAAAAAACGGCCACCCAATATGGTTTGTACGCTGGTTTGGAGCCCCTGCCACTTTCCAGTGCCTCATGGACCGGGTGCTGCATCCGCATGCTGCATATGCTGCCGCCTACCTGGAGGATGTTATCATCCATGACGACACCAGAGTGGAGCATGTGTAGCAGGTGGCCGCAATCCTGGAGTCCCTGAGGCAGGCGGCACTCACGGCCAACCCAAAGAAGTGTGAAGTTGGACTGAGGTACAATATTTAGGGTACCACTTGGGAAGCGGGCAGGTGCGTTCACAGATGGATAAAACAGCAGCCATTGCATCTTGCTCGTGCCCTAAGACGAAAAAGGAGGTGAGGCGGTTTTTGGGGCTGGCCGGTTCCTACCGCCAGTTCGTGCCCGTTTTGCAGAGGTGACCAGCCCCCTTGACAGACCTTAGCCGAAAGGGTGCCCTAGATCTGGTCCGGTGTAGGAAGCAGTGCAGATTTCCTCTCCCACTCTAGGGGGGGTGGGCGCGGATGGGTCCCCGCCCTAAGTTGGGTGGTGGGGGTGTGTAGCGGAGTGTGGTTGGTGGCTTCTATGCAGGGGAGGAGTGGAGCAGTGGGTTCAGGGTGTGGTGTCAAGGAAGGCTGGTTTTCGCAGCCGGTGAGCATCATCTAATCATTTGGGTTACAGTTAGGGTTAGGGTTAGGCATTCATTTTTGATGGTTAGGTTTAGGGTAAGCGGCTATTATGTCAATTAGATGTCCTCACTAAAATATAAAAAAAAGGGTATGTGTGTGGTTGTGTAGGTGTGTACGCAGATGCTTGAGGGGAGTGTTTAAATGTGTGGGGGTAAACACTAGGGGTGGGGGTTTTGAGTATCGATTTATCGATATCGATCAATAATTTGTAGAGAGATATTTTATCTCTCTCCAAACAACACTGACTGAACCAGCAGCCAAAGAAGATCCAAACTACACTTCACATTTCGC